AGCAATGGTAGTTATAGCTAATACACTTGATTAGTAAGGATATTCTAAGAAAAACAACACATATTTATTACAAATAACTAACTTAACAAACTTTCTTAATTTACTCAAATTAGTTAACTAATTCTTATATTAAAGACTAAAGGTAGTATAAGTATACGAGGCTAGAGTGTGAAAATGAGCAAATGAAGGAGCCGAGACACTGACCCAAATTCATAAACAACTTGGCTTATATGTAAAATGATGGAAGTATAGAACAATAAAACACCCCTATATATGATGATGAAAGCGCAGAACTCGGTAGGGCAGCAAGGAGATTCTGATTGGCTTTAAGTTGAGCCTAACCGTCCGTGTTAAACTTGACATCACCAGGCAATCAAAGTATACACATGTTACTTTCTTTTAGTTATAGGATAGCCTATACATGTACTTGTAAGTTGGTGCAAGTTATTGTCTTTCAACGTAACGGGGGACAACCTAACCTATTTGTCTCTAAACCTGCTTATACTATTCTCAAGAGTTGTTGAAGCTTGAGAGAATTAAAATACCATACAAATTAAAACGAATCAAATACTTTAGTAAGGTAGTTGAGGTTTTGTACGCCATCTTGGGTCATGCAATCTGCTCCTGCCAACATTGCCAACTCATCTAATATCTTTCTTTTCTCCTTTCTTTCCTCCTTTCTTGTTACCCCTCCTTAACCAAAGCCCATTAAACTATTTCACAGCAAAACTCTCTCTCATACGCCCTCTGCACTTCACCTACCTGAGTAACGGCCACTTCCCAATTTTATTAAACAGATTAAAATTAAAAAAAGGAGGATTATGGAGTGTCTTTTAATTGTTTGCTTGTCCTCCCTGTTCTTCTCCATTGCATTTCAGAGTTAGCATTCCCAACAGTATGTGTATAAGCGCAAAGTTTTGATATCGTCTCACTTTTGCTGAGATGATGAGAGTTTCGGCATAAGGTGGATAAGGATGCAGTTAACTGTTGCTTTCAACTAAGTTTGTAAGGATCTCGCTTTTTGTTTCTTCTCGTTTCTCTTTTGTCATTCTTCCGTTCTGCTCTTGTTTTTCTTGCTTCGTACATCAGTCAAACCAAAGTAGCATTTCCCATTTTGGGGTGACACAAAGAATCCTACATTATCGGCCAGTATATATATGTGGATGCTTTAAAGTACAAGCATTTGGTACCATCTTGAGAAAACTACAGACTTCATGATGAAACTTTTTTCTGGTCATTTTGTTATTTGATCTAACAATCTCTCGGCCAGTATTTGTTTTCTTCTTCTCAGCGCCTCCATTATTAGCTTTGATTACTCCTGTTGCAGGTGACATGAACATCATCACGCAAAGCCTGTCCGAGAGACTGAGGCCCCTTGTGGGTTTGAATGGCTGGGACTACTGTGTTCATTGGAAGCTAAGCCAAGACCAAAGGTTTTTTTTTTTTAAAAAAAAAAGCCTCATCAATTCAAACCACATTTTCCCCTCTCATTCCACTGTTCCTATCTCCATTGATCTCTATCTTGTCCAATATTGTGATGTGTGATTCAGGTTTCTTGAATGGATGGGATGCTCTTGTGCTGGGACTGAAGGCAGCCAAAATGGTGGAGAAGAACTACTTTTCCCTGTTTCTTCAGCTGCTCCGTGCAGAGATATTATGTTTCCTCATCCCAGAACAACGTCCTGTGAATTACTTTCCCGACTTCCCACTTCCATAACCTTAGATTCTGGGTATACATTCATTTTCCAGCTTTACTCTGCTTCCAGCTGTAATTTCTCAGACCTAGTATCTCACCATTTGAATCTGTACATGAACAGGATTCATGCAGAGACACTATTATCCAATCAGCCCAATTGGGTGAACTATTCCAATAGCTTAGACCCAAACACTTTGGAAGTACGTTCCTTCCCCCTTCCTTTCATATATTATCATCTTCTGGTATAAGCAAAATGGACTCCACATTCTCATCTAACATTATACGAGAACCATTAATTCTGCAGGAAACACTTGGGACCCAGGTTTTGATTCCTGTGCCGGGGGGACTAGTTGAGTTGTTTGTGACAAAACAAGTACGTAATAAAGTTTACTTGTATATCTCCACCTTGAGAGACATCCTCTAAGGTAGCAGCATTTAGACTGTCTAGTTTTATAACAGGTGCCGGAAGATCAACAGGTGGTCGATTTCATCACAGCCCACTTCAATATGGATATGAGCTTCGACATCGACGTGAATTCCATCAGTCATACTCAACCAAATATGAATCCACTTTTAGGGGATGAGAATGATGGGAATACAATAGCATCAGAGACTTCAAGTCTTCCGCCACATGATCAATGCAACTCGCCATTGAACTTGATGCAGCAATATACCTACAGCAACCCACATAGAATGACAAGTGACGGCATTTTTGAAGATTCCCAAGGTTCATTCCTATTGAACAAAAGCCAGCAATTTGGGGAGCCTATTGAGAAGAAGGATCAGCAAGGGGACGATAAGGATTTGATCAAACACTTAGTGGGCAGGTCAGATTCGATGTCGGATTGCAGCGATCAGAACGAAGACGAGGATGATGGGAAGTACAGGCGAAGGAACGGGAAAGGGAATCAATCGAAGAACCTTCTGGCAGAGAGGAGGAGGAGGAAGAAGCTGAATGACAGCTTGTATAATCTTCGGTCTTTGGTTCCCAGAATTTCCAAGCTAGACAGAGCATCCATTCTTGGGGACGCAATTGAGTACGTGAAGGATTTGCAGAAGCAAGCGAAAGAGCTGCAAGATGAGCTCGAGGAACACTCAGAAATGGACGAACAAGAAGCACCAGATAATGTTGTCGGGGTTGAAATTGGACCAACAAAAGCCGATCAAACGAAGACTCAAAATGGGTTCCATGTGGGGAAATCAGGGAACTATATCTGGAAGCCAAAACAGGAGTTTGATCCGAACGACAAGCAAACACAACATATGGAGGTATCATATAAATACATTTAAAAAAAAAAATCCATCTGGTTGATTTGATATTGACATCTCTATGAATAAATGAAATGCAGCCGCAAGTGGAAGTGGCAGTGATAGAAGGGAACGAGCTGTATGTGAAGGTGTTCTGCGAGCACAGATCTGGTGGGTTCGTGAAACTGATGGAAGCATTCTACGCTCTGGGGTTCGAAGTCATCCACGCCACAGTCACCAGCCACAAAGGCCTCGTCTCCAGTGTCTTCAAAGTAGAGGTAAACATCGTTACGTCCTATAACAAAGCTCCAACAAATTAAACTTATAAATTGAGTCCATCAAGATTTAAGTATTGGAATTAATTATGTTGGTGTGTTTTGGGGGGACAGAAGAAGGAGGAAGAAATGGTAAAAGCTGAAGAGGTAAGGGAGTCATTGATGGAGCTTATGAGGAACCCATGCAGAGGATGGAATCATGAGATGAGCACAAGTGGGGCATCAGAAAATAGAGTAGCAACGGACTATCATCAGCAAGAACAACAACAGCTTCACCTTCTCAACCACCACATGGCTGCTTATAACCCCCACCATTTACACCACATTCATACTTAGTCAATTTTTTTTTACCTCTTCAAACTACCTCAAGTCTTAGGTTTCTTGTTCTTTTTTTTCAAAGAAAATGCTGTTTCCCCATGTAGGCTTAGTAAAATTAAGAGGGGAAATGTTGACTTTTATGCCTCTTGTGTTGGTTGCTAGAATGGAAGCATAACCTCTTAACCAGAGAGATTTTCTTGGAGGGAAAGCAAATGGAAGCTGGGAAACGTATTGTCTTGTCCTGTTGTAAAACTGAAAACGCAAATACCTAACTCTTTTTAGTTTTATTTTTTAATTCTATTTATAAGTCACTTTCAATATATTTCATACAAATTAAAAAAAATTTTAAATTTCATTAACTCTTATTTAAAATTTAATAACTTTTTTAACTTTATTCATATTTAATATTCATTATATCCCAACAAAATAAAGTAAACAAATAATAAATGAAGAGTAAAATTATATATTTATATGAAAAATTATTCTCTCCTTTTTATAAATAGGATCAGAGGAATATTTGTTTCCTTTGTCCTTGCACAACAAACTCATTAGTAAAGCCAACCAACACCACTAATTGGATTCTAAGCAAGTATCCGCCAAATCCAATTTATTGGAATTGCTCCCACATAACTAACATGAATGAACAATCCAATGCATGGCATCAATTTTTGATGTAAAGATTTTAGCAGGTCATATTATTTTATAATCATGAACAATGCAGCTTAAAAATAAATAAACTTGATTGTGGGACAAGAACAAAGGTTAAGATAGGAAAACAAATATGACACGACAATCTTCTTTAATTTAGTATACACACGCATATATGTGTATATAAAACCATACGTATGTGTATGTGTTAAAATAACATAAGTAGATAATCACAAAAGTCTAAAATTAATTAACTTTTGCGAAGTGTGGTATATTAAATTATCAAAGAAATGTATCCATCAATTTAGAAAGCAAAATGTCGCAGGATATTAAGATACGCCAATAAGAGATGATAGGTGCCTGTATCATAAGAATGGGAAATTAAAAAAAAAAAAACTTTGATACCCATACATATAATAATCCTATTGAAATAGCATATTAAAAACGGCGCTCACAAAAATAAGCCCAACTGATAAAAATACAATAACCTTATTAGCAGACAATCTTTAAATATTTTTAGAAGCATTTTTTATAGTACTAGACCTAAGAAATGTGTTAATTAATCTTTGTCAAATAATAACTTTTTCTACTTGTTTTATTTACCTGTTCAAGAACATGATCTTGCAAATATAACAAAAATGACCCAAAAACCTGGTTTTTACGGTTTAGTCACGAATTTCTTCCCTCCAAAGGAGCATTGACCTATATTTTTGTCGTATTGCAAGATAAAGCCTTGATTCGCGAGGGGTTTCCCCTGTTCGTTTTGTCCGATGTGTTGAGCCCAAGATAATATCAGATCGCACTAGAATTCGGCCCACATATAAATGATTCAGAGCGAGCGAGCGAGCCTCTGATCGGCTTCCGCAGTGGGGTGAGGCCGGAGAAAATGATCGTTTGTGTTGCCGTCGTTGGTCACCAGGTATGCCTCTATACTTCCTCGTCCTCAAATTTCACGCAGCATTCTTCACTTTTATTATAAGCTTTATTTTTTTTCTGCACAAGATCACAAATCTCGCTTGTTTTTCTTTTCCGACGATGAGCAGAACAACCCGCTGTATATTCAGAGCTTCACTGAAGCCGACGATGCTCTCAAGCTCCATCATATCGTCCACTGCTCCCTTGATGTGGTTGACGAGCGAGGTCCGTTAGTGAGGAATAATTTATATTTGGCTGATTATGCTTGATTTTACTAACCAGGCTTAGATTCGAGAATTTGGGTTTCTGGAAATTACTTGAGATGGGATACCTCATAAAGAGTCTGGCTATGAAGTTTCGTTCTTGATCCAATATAGGAATGGCTGGGATTTGTGGATCATCTGATTCGGAGATCTCGCCAATTTCTTTAAGCTTTATTGTTGTTGCCATGTGCACTTTCCTTTAAGCTTTGAGGTTTAGATCACACGTATGAGAATTACGATTCGGTAGTTGCTCTAAATTTGCATATCACTTTTCCGTTGCTATGCCTTATGGCACTGAATGTGTTATCTTGTCAGTGAACAATCCCAAGAAGACTGGACCGATGCTGAATGAGACGTTCCTGGGTCTGCTCTATCCTACTGATAACTATAGGGTGTGAGTGCATTTGTTGTCTATTCTATCTTGAATGGCCTTGAATCCACAAAACAATACAAATTTGTGGTTTTTCATAATTATTATTTCATTATGCAACCCGCAGCTATGGTTATCTGACTAATACAAAGGTGAAGTTTATCTTGGTCACAACAGATCTGGATGTCAGAGATGCAGATGTAAGAAATGTGAGTGCAAATAAAATTCGATGACTTTCTTTCTTTCCTAAGCTGCGATTCCACAGTAACTGTGTAGTATTCTTCATATTCTCGTTTTCTTGACATTGGAAAGGAATGTACTAGTGAGGTATGCCCTTAACTATGCTGTACTGAGGATGTAGACACCTCAGGTTTTTGTTACTCAAAAAAGTTGAGTGTTTCTTGGAATAAATCTTGATAGGCCTTTACTGGACTAAATGTTATACTTTGACCGCCGCGTTTTCTATGGCTAAATTTTCTCACCTTACCCCTTCTCTCCTAAGAAAAGAAAGAAGAAACATGGAGGCCATTAGGATGGGACGAAATTGAAGGGATAGAATCCTATCCCATGGACCAACCAAAGTACTGTGTTCTTAGGGTTGATTGTTGGATGTCTTGTGCCTAATTTAATTTTTCTCCTCTATCTTATATATAATACCAATTAAATTTTACAGAATGGGGCACTTGTTATAGCGGAAAAGTAAAGTTTTTCTTTATCTGCTGTGTTGCCTGGCATGAGCAATAGACGATGACGTTATCTTTCAATTATTGCCGTTCAATTTGTATATTCAGATTTACCATGGTTTAATAACGAACACAGTTTATTAATAGGTAGTCATGTTTTAATTTGCTTTAGTTTAAGTGTAAGATTGAGCCATGAGTGCAATATTGGCTTGCATCAAATCAAAGTGCACGTGATTGAGTAATTCTTGATGGGACTTGTTGCTTGAATTTTCAAATATCAATGTTAGTTGCACAGATGTTTCATCTAGGCATGTGAACCTTTTGTGTTTCCCTGAGGTCATTTTCTTCAATGATGAAATGCTACTGTTATTTTACTCGTTAGTTATATGGAGATGCTTTTGATGATTCAATTGTAGGTTTTATTAATAATTTGAATCCAACCAATATACTTTCCTGCCGAATGCTGATGAACTAGTTAAGATTTGTTGAAAACTTTTGTTCTTTGTATTGGCTACTAATTATCAGTTTGTCTTCGCAGTTTTTCAGGAAATTCCATGCTGCATATGTAGATGCGGTTTCAAACCCATTCCATGTGCCAGATAAAAAGATCACCTCTAGAACTTTTGCAGAAAGGGTGAGCACAATTGTCAAGTCATTTGGATTAAGTTCCACCGGCTGAGCCTAGATAAATGTTGATATTTCTCATACAACGCTCTTTCTTCTCCCCAAGAAAAGGTGTCTTTTTGCCTCATAATTTCTGTTCCTTAGGAGTTACTCTCTGGTAAAATTGCTTATCAAATGTGGATGTCTGTGAACATTTGAAACAACACCCCTTGTATCAGCATTCAATATATAAATTCCAAATCTTCAAAACTCCACATGCAATTTGCCTAATGGATAATTTGAACAATCCCATTTATCTTCCATTTGGCTTCCATTGGGGGTCCTTCCAAATATGGATATCTTTCGTGCTCACCCCAAATTCAAATATTTGTTGTTTATCTTAAGGCTCTCAAGGGTATTCTAATTAAGTTAAAGTGAAGAGAATCACGACTTGGGAAAATAGAGTAATCGATTTGAGCTCACAGGAAACCTTGGAGCCCGATCGTGCTCCAAAGGTTGTGTTTAACCTAAACAAACACTTGCCTTTTGTAGTACGTAACGAAGTTACTCGAACAACGAAACAAGCCGTCAAAATGACGTCAATTCATCGAGGAAGAACTGTCGGGACTAAAGCATGTTGAGGAGGATTGTTTTTAATAATCGTTGAGTCATAGGATATTTTTAACAGTAAGAAATTTGTTGAGGCAGACCAAAAAAGTAACAGTTTATGCGTGAGAGCAATGCGCACATTTTCTGCTGTGCTCTCATCAAGGCTTACCAAAAATCGTTGCCATGACTAAATTCTGCATACGGAAATTAGCTGATAAGATCATAGAGTGCTCACATAAATCAAGTCTCTGTAAATGAGAAAGCTTCAAAAATCAGACGACAGGTTTTATCGGGCAGCCAGTGGAAAACCCCTTTTCCAGGGTCAAGTAAGGATGGAAAAGGAAGGGCCTCCAAGGCTGTTCAGCTCCAAGCAAATGCGAAGAAATATAAATAAGTAACCTTATTGTTTAAACAAAACAAATGAAGCTACTGGCCTCGTTGAACACTCACTGGACCTAAATATCATTTGCTTTTATCACTATTACATTTGCTATCCTATCTTGCTTGACTTTGATGAACTGTTGGGGATCATGATTCAGCTCACTACTGCAGAATCCCCAGCGTTAATGCATCATACCGAGACTACCACACATCTCTACTCAACACCCTGTCAAAGTTGCTGAGGAACTCGAGCTACAATGTTGAGCAGAATCATAAGAGAACCTTCTCTTTTCCCATGCATTCCTGTTCACGCATCAGGCGTATCAAGGCTTTTATTAGCACCACAAATACCATAACCAGATCTTGGGGCGTTAGAAGCGCTAGAATGAGTTATTCCACCCTGCCCATATCGTCAAAAGGAGGCATTGGGTTTCTTGATCTGGATTGCTTGAATGCTTCTGTTTTAGCACAAGAACCGGGCATGGCCTGCCTGTTCTGATTAAAATCTGAGGGTGGTGACCTGAATGCGCCTCTTGCTTCAGGTCCTCTGCTATTCAAAACAGAATTGTCCCGTGATATCGTTTGTTGGAAACTGATTCTTGGATCAGCTCTTTTGTACCTATTCTCTATCACAACTGAAGGCTGTTGTGCCGTAGATGGAAAATTATTCATACGAGAATCCGGTCGTTTGTATCTGTTCTCAGTCACAGCAGGATGGTCTTGTGAGGTAGATGGGGAATTATTTCGTTTGTATCTATTCTCAGTCATCGTTGGCTGCTCTTGTGTGATAGACGGTTGATTATTTCGTCTGTACCTATTCTCAACCATAGCAGGAGGCTCTAAATTACGTTTTGATGGTGAGCCTTCTTTGTGTACAGCATTTGTTCCAGTATCAGCCGAGTTAGCCCTGTCCAGATCACGATTAAAATTAAATACTTCATTGAAATTATCATCGCAAACAAATATGGAACAAGCAATATTCTTCATAATTTTATCTGACCTGTCCATCACAAGTGACACATGCTTATAACCATCAGAAAGCACTTCTTCCTCTGTCTCAAACCCTGATTCAGCAGGACTTTCATTCGGATCTTCATCAACGTCGCTAGCCTCTTGAGCCTCAACAGAGTTATTCATCGCATCTTGCAACTTTTTCCCACGGGCACCACCTTTCTTTGGTAGCCCAAATTTGATATGCCTGACAATCACATAAGCTTCTTTTTTCCCCAGATGCGGTCCACTTTCCACGACAGACACATCTTCTAACTGAAAAGAACTGCTTAAGTATAGAATGGAATGATGGACAAAGATAGGAAAATAACATAAAAGAGACAACTTATAGACAAAATTTAGACAGGAAATCAAGGAATCAAGCAGGTGACAGTCATACCAAAGCAGAAAAGCGCGATAATATTCCTTCAACGTCCTGATCTCCAGCTCCTCCTAATGCCCTGCACTGCTTGCATAACCAAGAATGAGTGAAAGGCCAACAAACATATCAAAATATTTTATAATGCAATGAATGCATGCAAACATGTTGTTATGGCCAAAATTTTCTCAAGACATCTTTTCTTCTTTTCTTATCATGTATGCATGTTGCAGACCCAGAACATGATGTAAGCATGGATGCATCAGTTCATTTAATGAATTGCCATCATAAATTATATATAGATGACTACCATAATTTACATCAAATGACCTATGAGCGTTTAATGATTAGCAATTCAGATGCACGCACGAACCTCACTTCAGAAACATTCTAAAATCACTTCATAATTGCTCCACAGGTATTGTAGAAACACCATCTAAGAACAACCTACTCTTTTTTTTGGGCCAATATGAACACCCTAAACGAAAACCAATTAAATATCAAATGTAGAGGGGAGAAAAATTACCTTCACCCGGTAACCCTTCTCCATTAATTTTCTAACCATATCTGCTTTCATCTTCAGGTCTTTTAGTTCCTGAGGACATAAGATAAAAATGTCAAAACAGGAAATTTACTTCTCAAGTTCAGTAGGTAACAAAGAAACGCAACATATAATGACACGGGAAAAAAAGATGTAGTGAGGGAAGAAAGGAATATAGAAAATGAACTTACTGCTTTGGCAGAAAAGCGTATTTCCTTGCCAGGCCCTTTTCTCAAACTCAACTCTGACTGCATGTGATAGATATCATATTAAAACAAAGTTGCGTATAGACACACAGGCACATATATACAAACACATATACATGTGGACTATCTTTTTAAATTAAAGAAAATATGCAAAGGCTCATTTTCCAGCCACTTGATAGTTGGCCTGTTCTGCTATAAAGGATTTTATTTGTCAACCATCACAGCTTTACAAATATTTGATGCACATAAATTATTCTATCAACTAATATGAAAAGGTTATAAACTTCATGGTCCATTTATTTTTGCTCCACCCCATAAGGGCATATATTTAAGTCCTGCCAATGATCTCGTTGGCAAAAAATCTATAAGCACCTCTGTCCTCTATAACTGCTCTTTGACCAATTAGGCCTACCTTAACCCTGATGAAATCTCAAAAGCCCACTCACTTGTTCCTTTTTTTGTCCAAAATAAAAAAACTAACAAAAGATAGTAAGATAAAATACATTGAAATATTAACTAATTTCCTCCTATGCTTATTCAAAATCCTATATTCTATCTTTATCTATAATTTCTACTGGCAAACAACAGCAAAACTGAACCTTGCTTTTAGCCCGCTCCTTTTCCCTTTCTTGTTGTTTGTACTTTTCCTTGTGGTAGTCCATAATTTTGCAGACAGGCGGTTTTCCATTTTTCTGAACCTGTACAACATTATCAAAATTATAGAGGCCCGGGTGACTATGAGAACAGATCTAATACTTAAAATTTACAAATGCCAGTAGAACCATTCTCATGTGCTGAATCTAAAACAAAAATTATTTGCGGGCATAGGGGTGAGGTGGCCACTATATGACCCAAACATAAGAGATACTTCTTTTTATTGAAAGAAAATAAAGCTTCTTATTTTTGTTGCAAGTGACAATTTTTCGCCATATGAAATTAGACAAAGTCTCTCTACCCCGTCTTAAGATTGAAGATTCACAGTCTACGCATCATACAAACCTTTAAAAGTCCCACAAATATCAACAAATCCTTCAGCAAGCTATAATATTTTATTCATTAATTATTTCAACTGAGCACTTCTGTTTAAATGTTGGAACTCTCAGATAACATGGCAAAAGACCTGAAAAAACTTTACCTCCACCAAATCAAGCTTGAGCCGCCTAGCGCGTTGTAATGCTTCAAGCCTAGAAACTATTGAATGTTCTGCATGAATATATAAATTTAATGGGAAATTCAGAGTTCAAACAAAACCAACTTACACATATACAAGCTCCCAAATATGCAAGTACTGATCTTTCCATTGAAGCTAGTACAATGCGGCATATGTCTACACTGTGTTCCATACATTTATCATTTATTATATGCAAAAGACTACAAATCTCCATAAATCCTTAGGCAGTCTTATTCAACTTCCTAAGCATGCTCCATACCATATTTTCGTTAATCCTAGTCACATTTGTTTAATAGGAAGTAAGAGAAAACAACTGTTTGTAAACGCAAATATGGCTGGTAACTTCATGGTCTAGCAAATTTTTAGAAAAACAACCCACAGTTTTAGGACACTAGCCCTTTCAATATAAGATGACTGATCTAAGTATATGGGTGCACTTGCACTCCCTTCCTCCAAATCAGTAATTAAAAGCCAATACAACCTTCCCCTGATAAGTTGATATTTGATTACCAATTGAATTGTAATCATTCTTACTGAAGGTATTAATTATTAGACTGAAAAGAGCCATGCCATGCCCACAACCACGACAACAACATTATTTTTTTAAAAAAAAAAAAAACAGTTTACATTAGCGAATATCAGGAGTATATTTACCATCATCAACTACAAGCCTGATAAACTGCGCAGTAATTTCTTCATTTATTCGCGGCTCACTGTTGTCCATCTTCGTCTTCGACTGAAAACCAAGAATGCACCATCAACCCATAACATCACGGAGAACCATCGAAACCATACATGGTCATCAAAACATCATGCACTGTTATACACAACCTGAAAATCCGTTGCACTGCCTTACTGGATAAAGAACACATAACCAATTCCGCTAGAACAAACAAATGCATGCCTCAACATTGAAAATTTTACGCTAAGATACCATCACTCATCATACTTCACAACAAACACACCACCCCACTTTTAGTCACCATGAAAGCAAAAAGTTTAACATTTTCAACCACTAAAGTTAAAACTTACCTGAGCAGGGGCAGCGAAAAACCTTGCGTTATTATAAACATCAGTGGATCTACTTCGAAAAATCCAGCTTGGTCTCTCAGAAACGCGGGTATTCCGATGCGTGATGGAATTCAATAAAGATGCGCTGGGGAGTTGAATGTAACATCTTCGAAATTGGGTGGACAAGATTTTCAACTTAGATTGCCCGATTCGGCACCAATACGCCATTACTTATGTGCAGTAAAAGAGACCTGGAAACTAATAAACCACTATCATGACACTATTCGTTTGGCAGAGAGGTCGATCCTTTAGCCCAGAGGAAAGTTAGTTTTTCAAACAGCGACTCAGAGCGGCTTTAACAGTTACATACAGCCTTACCAGCTACCCTTGCGCCCGAACTGGAAATTGCTCCCGCGCGCAGGGAAGGGACGACCGGACGAGGAGTGGGGTTACGCGGCCTAGAACCAACGGGGCAGAAGTCATGGAAGCTAGAAAGCGGAAACTGGTGGCGGGGCCATGCTTTACACTCGAAGTTAAATGGCCCTGAGTCGAGGTGGGCCTACAATTAATAGTCCAGAAGTCAGGCCCAAGATTCGGATTAAAATTCTTTTGTTCGCATATCCCGATCTTTTAATTGATATCTTATCATCATAATCCAAAGATAATAAGGGCCTAATATGCCATGTTCGAATCCCCTAAGGAAAAGTGTCTACATTTAGTATCTAATAGTGTCTCAAATAAGATTATCTTTAATAAAAAGATACCTATGTTTTAGCAACAACAAAAAAATAGGAAGGAAAATAATTTTTATAAGAAGAATTTGAGTTGATTTGCAGCCGAAGAAAAAATTCCAAAATTATAGATATGAATTATTTTGCATTTTTAAACAAAATTTAAAAACACAATCAAGTATATCATAATAAGATAAAAGGGATTGGTGATATTCATTTAGTAAATTCTTTAAATTTTTGGAATTAGGTTGTGTGTTTAAGGTCATGTTTGGTTTGATATGCATTATTTAGATTTCTAAGGAATTAATACTTCACTCAAATTAATATTAATTGATAGATTTTATTTTTTTGTTTTTAATTATTAAGGTATTTGACTTTGGAATATTTATAATCAAATAGAAATTATAGACTACCTCTAATTCTTAATATAAGGGTCAGTCTGACATTCAATTTGATCTTAAATATAAGATCTCAATCTTTGTCTCATATATTTATTCATTTCTTTTAAGGTAATCCGTGCAGTAGTTACATGTGTTAAAAGTTTAATCAAATGATAATTTTATTTAATCCACATGATTAGTAAGGACATTTTAAAAAAAATAATATATATTTATTACAAATAACTGATTTAATTACTTTTTTAAACTAATTAAATTAATTAATTAGTTTTTATATTAATAATAAGAAGTAGAAGTATAGTTCAGTGCATGACTGCATCCCCCCGGGGGGCAGCATCCATGACTGCATTGTTGTATCTAATATGCAATGCGTGAGCGTACATTTCTAGTTTAGTAAACGAATTGAAATTTATTAATATATTTTTGAGACACAACACAATATTATTTATTGGCAACAGAGCTTAATCTCCCTGATATGCGAGATAAGGGGTATAATTTTCCAATTAAATTTTGTTTTGTACACTCTATTATATTACTTCCGATCCTTAATATAAGATCTTGTTTGAATTTTATTTTAGTTCTAAATATAAGACTCCAATCAATTTTGTCTATCATATTTATACATTTTTTTCTCAAAGTAGCCCTTCTAACAATGATAGTTCTAGTCAATACACTTAATTAGCAAGGATATTTTAGAAAATACAACACCTATTTAGGACAAATAACTAACTCAACTTACTTCCTTAATCTCCTCAAATTAGTTAACTAGCTCTTATAATTAGGACCGGATATAGTATTATAAATATGCATAATAGAAGCCACCCGAACATTTTGTAGCTTGCTAATTTTTTTATTATTCTTAATAAACCTCCCGTGAAAAAACATATTAGATTGTGAATAAAGAGACTTTAAGTACCTGTTTGGATCATAATAGAAATTTTCTATAAACACATTTTACATAAGTAAAGATAAAATTCCTTTCACATACTTGTTTCGTATTCTGTAAATCAATATTAGAAAATTATTTATAAACTACTTAAAAACCATTCTGAATCTTTCTATGCGCAACTTGTAATGTCTCAAATCTGAAGTCCCATCATGTGTTTAGTTTTGCATTATTATAATTAGAGGACCTGGCCATCACATGGATTGGGGGTCCAAAACCCAGCTTTCGATGGGGAATTTGAACGATGATACAGAAATTCCAATTTAGTGGTCAACGACTCATCGCAGCTTCACTGCAAGCCAGATAATTCTCTGATATTTCATATCCACCAATATTTTGGAACCTTCAGGAACCCCAAAAAAAAAAAAAAAAACCATTTTTAGGCTCAGATCATTCAGGCCTTGCAAACCGGTCAAGCTTAATTATTTTTTTAATCTTCCATGATGTCGAGGGAATCAGTACTTAGTCATAGAGACATATATTTATTTGGGTACAATTTCCATTTTATATTCTAAGTCTTAATTAGATTCTTATCTCATAACACGTAACAATTTAGAAGATTTTTTTATACCAAAAAAAAAAATCAAAGTGAGTTGGATTTTGGAGTCAGGATATATCTTTAGATACAGAGAATGTTCACAGAACTTCAAACAATTAAACTGCAATATTTTGAATTCGTGGATTGGGTTTGTGGCTGTGAACGTTTTGAGGAAAGATTTATTTATAATGGACCAAAATAACAAGTTAGAAATAAAATCAAAACAAATTACGCAGTGTTTGCTCGATATTGACTAATAATATAATCCCTTACGTAAAGACAGAATGAATTATTAGGTTTAAATACATATCAAGCGGACATGCTTCTCCTGGGGAAGGCTTTCTCGTGGGAAATTGTTATTATAAGAGACTGCTGAACTTCCAGAAGCTATTTTGGCCAGGAAAGAGGCAAAGAACATTCGTTTTCCTGATATTTGTTTGACCACACACAAAGCCAAACGTGGGATTCATTAAGCCAATATCGAATTGACTTTGACAAGCTACAGTTACGGTTGATCTTATCATCAACCAATCAACGAATTAACCAAGATATGCATCATCTGGGGACGGTGTCTGGTGCATGTTTGGCATTAAGTTTATGGCTCAACCAAACTGAGGTCCTACACTTAAAAATAAAAAAGTCTTAACCCAAAATAATGTTTAGAATGACTCCTGAGCAGAATGATTCCTTATCTCAAAAATAACTCTAAAGCTGAAATAACTTTTTTGTGACTTTTAATTTCTTTTTAGATTATACTGCCTCTGGTCCTTAATATAAGAATTAGCTGATTAATTTGAGCAGATTAAAAAAATTAGTTGTATAAGTATTTATAATAAATAAGTGTTATATTTCTTAAAATACTCTTATTAATTATGTGTATTAGTTAGAGTTATCATTTGATGAAACATTTAATATATGCAACTGTTATAAGAACGATCTTTAAAAATAAATAAATATAAAAGATAAAATAAATTGATATTTTATATTTAAAATTAAATTAAATATTAAATTAACTCTAAAGAATGGAAAAAGCGTTGAAAAGTCAGATTTATAGGGTTAAAATCTAAAAACAAAGTTAAAAGTCATAAGGAGAATGTTAACCTCGTAGTTTGCGTGCGCTGTGTACGTATATAAAGTCGATAAAGCAGTTGGTATTCGGTATTGAAGTGACAGGGCTCAAGGAAATTGCCTCCCTTAACTGACCAAAGACTGATTGGAAGTTCGGAACTTGCACGTGTGGGGCCGGGGAATCCATTGTATTAAAATAATTGATGCTTTCTACTCAAAAAAAATAATTGATGCTAAATTATCGGCAAAATATAAATAAATAAATTGATGCTAAATTAAGTGCCCCACGAGACGAACTAGATTATAATATGGCTGAGGCAGAGCAAGCCAAGTTGACAAATTCTTGTGCTGACTGATCATCTCAAAGAAAAAGATCCACACAATCAACTTAACCTGCAAGCATTTGAATATAATATAGCGTTGAAAAAAAGAAAAAGAAAATCACTTGTAACTTAATGAAGTTATGAAGAGATCTCGCACAATTTTAATATTCAGGAAGTTCTATTTCAATGCAAAATGAACACAATATTAATGGGGTGTTTGGAAGCGCCTTCACAGAACGAAACAAATTCTTTTATATATTTACTTGTAAAAATATTTTTAAAATTATAATTTTGATTCCATTCAAACACCGTTTAAACCAAGAATTGGAACATAGAAAATCTCATCATATTTTTTCATACACAGGCACAAACTAAATTTCCCGTTCGGGTGAGGGAAATCAGAACTGCTATAGATTTGTTGAGTTGATAATTATTGCCAGCTTCCTCTAGTAATCTGGGGCATATGAGGAGCCACCTGTGTTATCGGGTATCAACGGGCTAGAGGCCAGAATTTAGAATATTTATGATTTGCTTTTCCGGGGTGTTTGGATAAAAATCAAACCATAGTCTTAAAAGTACTTTTACGATCTATGAAGTAAATATATGGAGAAATTTGTCTCGTTTTAACGAAAAAGTGTTCTTGAGAAGCACTTTTCAATGTTGTCAAATACCTCCTAAAAGTATAAGAATGAGTGAAAAAGGAAATAAGTTAATAAAACTTAATAAAATATTTAATTAATAATCAACAAGAATTACAAAGAGTAAATCAACGTCAATATTCAATTCGATATGAAATATGAAATGTTTAATAAGTTATAAATAGCACGGTTCATCTCAATGTCTGCACGATATGCATAAGAATTTGCCTATTAATGTAGATTATCAGATTTTGCCGAGAACTAATAATCCAATAAAATTTGGTCCTAGGCTTTTTGCCCCCACTAAGGCGCCAACAGTCGGTCTTGAACTCATCTTACGCCTTGAGTTCAATTATTATTATTATTATTATTATTATTATTATTATTGATATTGATTTATGTTCATTGGCTTTATCAGCAGCAAGGAAGAGCTTGCCCAAATTATTTATACCCCTGTACTAATTATAAAATCTCATTTGTATTTTATAAACAAAATTTTATAATTAGGATCACAGGTAGTATTATTTTAATAAAAATGTTGAAGCTTTCCAAAAAATTTATTTTAATAAAAATTAGGGTTAATATAAATTTTAGTCCTTCAAATTTGCCTTTACTTTGATTTTAGTCCCTAAAGTATTAAATAATAGGTTTTGGTCCTTTAAATTTTTTATTTAAAATATTAGTCCCTCTAATTTAATAAAGATCTGAATCATTTTGACTATTGAGAGATCAAAACTTATAGTTTGAAACTTAAAAGATTAAAATTAAAATGAGAGCAAAATTGAGAGAGCAACGATCATATGAACCATAAAAACTAAAAAAAAAAATCTCTTACTTTTATTTTTAATCAAAGATTATATTAACACTAAAAATTTAAAAAAAAGTCCCTTTCTTTATATTTTTGTAGTAAAACCATAAATTCCACGTGTTCTCATGTGAACCCTATTTCACGGAAAGCAAAGCCCATAATATTACGGAACCCCTTATCGTCGTCTAAAGAGAAGTTGATTGACTCTCATCTTCTCGTCACTCTCTCTAGCATGGTGGTGTGGAGCCCAGTGCTGAACCTCTGCTTTGCTGTCTTCAACCTCTCCCTCGTTGCTGTTTTATGGGCCTGTGTGCGTTGAGAAGAGAGAAAAGAAAAGGCGAGATTTTCTCTTGGTCGAATCCTTCACAACACTTCTACCTTTTAAATGCATCCATGCACCCAATACTAGCTCAGATTGAGCGAGGACCAAATTAACTATAATCCCACTTCTATTCTTTCCTCCTTTATATCCATGGATCCGCAGATCTAATGATTTCATTCACGCTTGACTTTCTCCTTCTTTCCATTTCATTTTCTTCTTCAGCCGGGGTATTCGATATCTCACCATCTAATATCTATAGTCAATTTGTCTAGTCTTGGTATGATCTCTCTCCATAATTTTTACTTCCTGCTCGACCAAAGTAGTAATTGGCGTCAATTATTGGCTCTTGTTGAGATTAGGGTGACTTGGGGATTCTGCTCTTCAATGTGAATGTGAATGTGAATACTCATGTTTAAAAAGCTAACAGAGTTTCATCCAAAAGAAAAAAAAAGCCGACTCTGAGAACAAGCGGGTTTGACCTTTTCTTTTGCGATTGTTGTTTTTTACTTAATTAATTTTTGCTGTGTTGATTGCTTCGTCCTTAGGGTTTGCTTCATGCTCAAAATTTTTGTTCTAACACGAAAGAGGTTGAGTATTTATGGGTTCAGGGAAGCTGTTACCTGCTCCTGAGTGTGATTTGTTGCGTTAAATCCTAATTAGCCCTTGTTAAGGGCTTTTCTGCTTTATGACTGGGTATGTGAATCTTAGTTGACTTTTTCCCCTTAATTCATTGTTGACAGTGAACCGATCTTGTGGTGAGTAGTTCAGGACTTTTGTAATCGAAACTGATAATTCTTGCGGTGAGGAAGTTTTGGGAACGTTGATAGATGAGGAAATTCTGGACGGCTGTTTGGTGAGATGAGGGATGTTATCACAGTTAATGAACCTTCTACAGGCCTGCTTGTGGCCACGTTCCGATCAAAATGCACGTACATGTTCAGATGCTGGAGGTCGACAAGATGGATTGTTGTGGTACAGAGACTCGGGGCAGCACTTGAGCGGTGACTTTTCAATGGCCGTGGTCCAAGCCAATAACTTGCTGGAGGATCAGAGCCAGATTGAATCGGGCAGTTTGAGCACCAGTGAATCTGGTCCTTATGGTACCTTTGTTGGTGTTTATGATGGACATGGAGGCCCTGAGACATCACGGTTTGTTAATGATAACCTCTTTCACCATCTTAAGAGTAAGTGACATCTAGAGGACTGAATTCGTAAAGCTTCTACTTTTGTTATGGTCTACAATTGTCACTTTACTGTATTTCCTGCTGCCTTCCTTTTCAAATCTTTTCGTTGCTATAATCTGTTATTGCTTTTGACTGGACATGGTACATAGAGAGGATACCGTCTGATAAATATGATATGTCCAGGGGAAGAGAAGCAATCGTCTAGTCCATTTCTGTGTTTTAATCTAGATCTTGTTGAGTTACAATGTTTCTAGAACAGAAGTTGTCTATTCTGCTGCTTGAGACAAAAGCTTTGTTGCTTCAGCGGAACCAAGTTGTTGTCTATTTTGAGCCTTTTTAATGGAACAGAAAATTATGTTTTCTGTGCTTGTTTTGATTTCTGTTTAGCAGTTGACCAGTGAAACCACCAAAGTGGTGTCAATAAGTGATCAATTGTTTTTTCCTTTTCATTACTTAATTTGTTTTTCTGAACCAGTCTAACCAATAAAGCATGGGTGAGGATCTTGTTTCTGGGTGGTGGCAGTGAGTATTTTTCACTGTAGTTTATTTTATGTTTCCATCATTCTATCACTTATAAAATTAAGTAAACCTGAAAGTATGAAAAGCGAGTGGTGTGCACTGACTTGATGCTGTGGGAATGGTGTATCATACTTGAGGAGTTTATGTAGCAGTAGTTTGTGGATTCGGCTTATGGTGACTGTTCTTCCATATGTTTGTTGATAAAAAATCATCTTGCTCTACTTTTAATTGCAGGGTTTGCTGCGGAGCAGCAATCAATGTCAGTTGATGTAATTCGCAAGGCACTTCAAGCTACAGAAGAGGGATTTATGTCTCTTGTTGCCAGACAGTGGCCAATGAAACCACAAATCGCAGCTGTTGGGTCATGCTGTCTAGTTGGTGTTATTTGTAATGGAACCCTTTATGTAGCTAATCTTGGTGATTCAAGAGCTGTTTTGGGAAGAGTGGTCAAGGCAACTGGGGACGTACTAGCTTTGCAACTGTCAACGGAGCACAATGTGGGGATAGAGTCTGTAAGACAGGAGCTGCATTCTTTGCACCCTGATGACAAACAGATTGTTGTTTTGAAGCATAATGTATGGCGTGTGAAGGGCCTTATACAAGTAAGTCATTTGTAGCTCATAATAATAGTTTTCTTGTGTCTAGAGCTAATCAAGTACCTGCTTTTGCTGCATGATGTACAATTGTACATTTAGATACACATTAGAGTGGCAGCTCAAGACTACATTCTTGAAGTTATGTGAGCAGAAATACTAGTATTACCTGACCTAATGTAATTTTTTTAATTGAAATTAATACTAATATATATGTCTTCAGGGCCTTTTGTTTTCTGGTTCCCAAAGCCATATATTAGCACATTGATAAAATATAAAATATAAAATATAATATTAGAAAAATAAGTTAAAATGCATTTGGGAGAGTGGGGATTTAAAATAATTTCCCACTAATTCCTCTCATTCTTCTTAACGGAAAAAAGTAATACGATTTAACCTGCTGCCTAGTAAAGTATATTTGGAAAAGAACTTGATTTATGTAAGTTAAACCCCTATATTGAGATGCTTTAGATGGTGTTATTTGAAATTTTGTTATTAATTCTTTTGCGTCTTTCATTCATTTTGTTTTTTTCCCCTGGACTTAAATCATGTCCAATCCTTGCCATGGTCCTTACAGATGATCTAAAGTCTTTAAACTTTGCAGGTTTCAAGATCTATTGGTGACGTTTATTTGAAAAAGGCCGAGTTCAATAGAGAACCTCTATATGCTAAGTTTCGACTTCGGGAGCCATTCAAGAGGCCAATACTGAGTTCAGAACCATCAATATCAGTGACCCAATTGCAGCCACATGATCAATTTATTATATTTGCATCTGATGGGCTCTGGGAGCACCTTAGCAATCAAGATGCAGTTGATATAGTTAAAAATAATCCTCATAGGGTAAGAATCACATTTCAATCTGCGCCAGATTTAATAGTTGAATCATGGTCATGCGATGCTGCAGACCTGACTAGGTTCCCCGCCCCCAAAATGGTTGGTGTTGATTGTTCCGTTATCGTGATCTGTTGCATGTTTCACAACTTGTATTTTGCCTATGGGGAGAATTTGTGGGGGAGATTATTTTAGCATAAACCATCGATGTTGCAAGTTAGAGCACATTCAATGAGATGAGGGCAAATGCATATTCATCATGAAGTTGCCTGTCTTTAGGGAAGGAAATTGAATGGTCGTTCCCTTTACTTGTCCGGAAATATTTTTGGTGTGCCCACCTATACATTGTTTGAGCATGTTACATTTGCAACGGATAGAAGCTGTCAAAGTTGTTAATCTGCCTCAAGTGGAAACAGAATTTTATTAAGTAGTGGATTCGTACCCACCATGTATTCCATTAAGCAAATACTTAGACACTGTCTCTGAATGCAGAGACGGATTCTGGATGACAAATGCCATAGTGAAGGGGAGTTCATTTTGGCAGATACAGAGGGAAATCTCTTGAGATCTAATGGTCTTGCCATATTTAGGCTCGAAAGTTTTATTCTTTGATTCTACCTGAAAAAGTTGTATCCAATGATCTTCATGAAGAAATCCTATTGAGTTATTGTTATTGTCATTTGACATCATACATTACTGATATGCTGATATTAATTGATTTCTAATCCGATTGACAGTCCTTATATGTATATTTTTGAAACTTGATATGAGCTGCTGATGCATGGCAGGCAGAAAACATGGCACAAAATGGATTAATGCTTAATCTGCTATCTCTCTTTCTGCTATCCTCTTTCAGGGAAGTGCGAGGAGGCTGGTGAAAGCTGCCCTTCAAGAAGCAGCAAAGAAGAGAGAAATGAGATATTCAGACCTAAAGAAGATTGATCGTGGGGTTCGTCGACATTTCCATGATGATATAACTGTGATTGTTGTGTTCCTGGATTCGAATATCCTGAGTAAGGCAAGCTTTGTGAGGTTCAATAGTATATCTGTTAGAGGTGGTGGCATCAACTTGCCTCCTAACACACTGGCACCTTGTATGACACCAGCAGAGACTGGTGGTACCTGATTTAAGTTGTATCATACCTTTCTATGTTGTATCATTCTCTTGTGTGAATACCAGGCGTCTTCAAATAGCAATGAGAGAGTCCGGTCAAAAAAAAAAAAAAAAGCAATGAGAGAGGAGCAGAACTTTAATTCTTTAAAGCTTGGTTTGGATAGGGAGAAAAATGGGAGGAAAAAAAGGAGAAGAGAATACTACGAGAAAAACTTTCAAAAATAGTATAAAAATTTACTATTTTTGAAAATTTTCCTCTTCATATTTTTTTTTAAAATAATCCAAACCAGTAGTAAATGCGAAATCGTAACTTACTAGAATAGCACTCCTCCGGGAGTAATACTTATGTTACCCCTTCTTCCAACATACTAAAAGAACAATGGGGATCTTCCCATGACCATGATATAAGTTGTGTTTGTGCCAAGCTTATTCTCTTCACGATTTCCTTTTCTTTGAGCTATTGTCTGTTTTGCGGGAAACAGCTCGAGAATTATTTTTTTAATGCCCTTCTTCAAGTAAGAGGAAGGAGAGTATAGTATGTTTCAAAAATATATTTGGTATGGTTATAAAATAGATGTAACCCTGAAATTACTTTTATTTGATTGGTGTATATAGTAATATGCAAATATCATAATATTACTATAAAAATTTAACAAGTTCTAGATATTAGTCTGGTTTCGCGCTTATGGCTCACACTGGTGATGCAAAGCCACGAGAAACTGATTTAATTGTCGAAACAAAGTAAAAAACGAAATATATGTTTGTTTGAAATCATAATTTTGGTAGTAAAATACACTCTAAAGCTAGCATGATTTACGCCAATTTAAAAGGTATTTTAATTTTGTATTAAATGGATATGGAAAATATTTTACTAACTAAAATAGTATAAGCTAAATAAATTTAGACGTTCTCCTAGACCTGATAAATTAAGGATTTTTTTTATAATGACAAAATTGTCTATTCTTGATTATTACAAACAATTATTTTAGTTTCCCATAAACAAATAATTATTTTATTGTGAGAAGTATGAACGTCTCTTTACAAATTAAGGAAATTAAAACTTAAAATGTTTTTCCAAATTAGTAACTAGTGATATGTATACAAATATTATTTAATGATTGAAAAACTGAGATGAATAAGCTCGGACAACCAAATGCTATGCTAAATCCTAAATGTGCCTCAGCCCTCAAGCACCATAACCACGGTTGT